ATTAAGTAAATTGCTGGAAAAAGAGGAGAAGGGAGAGGAGAGAGGAGTCCTTACCTTTCTCTTCAGGTTCCTTTGGGCCAGGGGCAGATGCCTCAGCACATCATTTTCTCCTTTGCAAAACAGGTGCAATCTCTGGACAATACTTTTAGCTCAGCAGGACTTGCCAAATCAGACAGAAAAACTTGTATTTTTAAGGGCAGACAGCATATTTTGTTATTTGAGCCTGACCTCCTGTATAAGCAGGGCAAGAGAACAAATTTTTACATTAAACCCATTACTTTTCCCTCAACCAGACCATGCATTGCAAAATAATTATCTCTTTTCTCCCAAGCTTTGCATTTCAACCCCACTTGCCCTCACATTTTTGAGAAGATTTGCTCTGTTTGCTAATAACTCTCTGTGCTCATTTAGCTTTTAATTTTAATTTTTAAAATTTTCATCTCCCTGCCACTGGATTTTCTATTCCTTTGCCTGCTGGATGACAGAATCCTGCTTCCTAAGAGGCTGGGATCAGTAGGAGCCTGTGAGACTCTCAGGAACTGCACTTTGCCAGAGCAGAGATGATCATTTAGGGGCTGATTGGACAAAGTGGAGACTGGAAACCAAAGTTAAATCACGTCCTGGTACATTAATCAGCAGGGGTGTGTTTATTCCTTTTCACAGGCAAATTGTTGGCACAATTATTCATCTTTGCTCAGTTTGAAAAGCTGGAGGTGGGATAAATACCTGTTGTGCAACCAGAAATAGATGGCCAAGGCACAAAAAAATCGAAAAAAACCCCCAGTTTCAAATTCCTTGGGAGTGTGTTGTGAAGAATAAAGTCATGTCCAGCCTGGCCTTGGACACTTCCAGGGATCCAGGGGCAGCCACAGCTTCTCTGGGCACCCTGTGCCAGGGCTCAGCACCCTCACAGGGAAAAATTCCTTCATAATATTCAATCTAAACCTGCCCTTTTTCAGCTTAATGCCATTTCTCCATATCCTATCAATACATCCACACATCTAAAAAGTTGCTGTCCCTCTTTTTAACAAGCTCCTTAAAAAGGAAAAGGTGAGAGCAAACACATGGAACAGTACAGAACATGAAATTATGCAGCTCAAAATCCTTCCTATCAGAAATTCCACCCGTGATCAATATTTGCCTGGACTCCAGTGGTGGAGAATCCACATCCTAGCTGGGCAAGTGATTTTAGTAGTGGAATATCAGAACACTCATTATTGATTTCTGCATCACTTCGGGTGGTGATTCAGCAGCACACGGAATTTTGGGTAGTCTGGGGAGGACATGGGACACAGGCCCATGAGTGCTTTGGAAAAGAAAAGTGTTGGAAGGGTAAATTCTGCATATATTTATCTGTGCTTTTGTGCAGATCTGTATAGGCATATCTATTAATACAAATATATGAATACAAACCTGTATAAAACCACATTTACACCCTGTCAACCCCCCTCCCCTTCCCCCTAAAGCTTTAAGAAGCAGCATTTAAGCTTGAAACTCTGAAACAGCTGAGAAATGAGAGCCCCACAGCAATCCAAGTGAAATTGGATGGATTTGCCCCATGAATCACCTGCTGAGGGCTGCAGTAATAAACAGGCATAAACCAATGGCAATTTAGAAACCTTTTAAACCCATAAAACCACCTTGCTGTGAGAAAAACAGGGCTACACAAGGGTGTTCCCTTTGCCCAAGGATGTGTGGAGAAATTCCACTTTCCAACTTGGAAATGAGGAAGAGCTTTTGGGATACCTGAGTGAAGTTTGGCTTTTTGTTCCTGTTGGCATATGCTGGGTTTGGGGTTTTTTTTGGGGGTCCTTTCTTGTGTTTTAGTTTTGTGAATTTCAAACACCTCCTGCAAACTTTGGGAATGGGAAATCTCTGTTGACAAGGAGGAAGACCATGGTGTTCCTCTACTAATAATTCTAGCTGAAGCCTCCTGGCCACGGGTGGGGCTAAAATTTGGGACCTTCTCTTTCCAAAACAACTCTCCTGACACAGCTGAACTCAAATTCCTGATCCATCCCTTGTTCTGCTAGGTCTTAAAGAAACCATAGATCTGCCAGGGGAGAGCAGAGGGGTTTGAGCAGGCAGTGCTGTGCCTCTCAGCAGTGCTGCTGCCACTTAATTATGAACACATTTCAGTGAGATTTATCAATCATCTATAGCCCTTAGGGATAGTTTTTAAATTATTATTTTAATAAATTTTTTTTTTCATCCAAAAAGCAGCAACTATGGAGGAAAGAAGAGTAAATTTTCAACACAGGAGCTGGATCAGGCCTTGATTTTTGTGAACATCCTAAATGCTTTATTTCAGTGAGATTTTTAGCCATGGGCTGAGTCCATCCTTGCCCCAGTCTTTTTGAAGGCAAAGGAGAGAAGTGAAGAAAGTCCAGCAACCTCCAAACTGTGTGAAATGTTCTGCTCAAGGCTGTATTATAAAAAGTTAAATTGGGGATCTCGGCACAATAAATAATAATGTTCTCAGAAAGTGCATAAAACCTATTTTTGATGCCTACACCCTTCCCTCAAACCCCGAGACATCTTTCATCCACCAGCATTGCACGCAAGAAATCTTTAAATCTGGGCAAGTTTGGTTTATTGAACTCAATAGAACTGAACATTTTTGCTATAAACTTTTATTTTTAATGGCCTCCTGGGAGCTCAGTGTCATTTACACTCTGATTTGTCCTTCCAGGACTCTGTGTCCCAGGATGTCACAGGGGCTGGGTGGTGTGGTCCATCCTGATCTGAATTTTGGTGATGAGTTCAACCACAGTAAATATCCTGTGTCCTCTTTTCCCAAGAGAAAAAGGAGGGCTCAGGCTTTGAGTTTCTCTGACATGATCCTGAGCCAGGTTTTCTGTCCTGTTTCCTGATGTGTGCAGATGTTTTGGATAGCCTAGAATGGCTCAAATGGCGTGGAATGCCCATATTAAATCCAGAATTAATTTTTTTTTTTCTCTGATGAAATTTAAATGTGTCTCATTCACAGACACCTCATTGGAATGGAGAGGTTTTAATCCATGAGCTGAATCCCACAGAAGGTACCAAAAAAAAAAAAAACAATCCAAACCTATTTGTCAGTGACCTTAGTGTCACTCTGTGTGTTGTGAGTCTCCAGGGAGGGACCCTTGGAGGTCTGAAAGTGGAAAAAAAATTGGAAACCTTCATCCAGGATGGCTGAAGCTCCTTGGGAAACCTCTGGGGCCACTCCCAGTCCCAGCTACAATCCCTGTCCTGCAAAAAGAGTGTAAAAGTCTGTTTGTTGAGGGGATGGTTTTCAATTTCTGAGTGGCAAAAGAAATTTCCCAGCAGGAACTGGCACACAGGGATGGCGAAATCTTTTGACCTTGATGACGTGATGTACATTTGGGGCTAAACTTAGGTTTTCCCTTTTTTATTCCCTTATTTTTGCCTATGGGCAGGAAAATGCAGGGTGGAATTTTGGCATGGATGGGCTGCCAGTGTGCAGAGGGAAGGGATGAAGACAGGGCTGGACCTTCCCAGAGCCTGGGTCATTCTGAGTCCCCTCTCCAACCACAGGAAATTCAGCAGGAACAGAGGGAAAGAAAAGCCAGCACTGAAACATCCCTTGAAATATCCTCCCAGCTGACAGCAATTGCTGCCTCAGGGATTTCTCAGCTCAGAGATTATATAAACATTTCCAACTGTCCTTGATGGGTTTATCTGTCACCAAGGCACCCAATTGCTGTTCTAACCCCTGCAGACAGGTGGAACATCTCCTGGTGATGAGTTCCACTGTTCAAAAATGAGCCATGTGAAGAATTACCTCGCTGGGTTCATTTTGATAATTGGGTTTGATGTCACTAAAGTCTTGTACCATGAGAGGCAGTGAAAACTCATTCACTGCTTGTCTTCTCCTCAGGTTTTACAGACCTGGATTCTCATCATCAGAGTGCAGTTTGATTTAAATGTTCCTTGGATGGAAACTGCCCGTAACTTTGGTCCATTCTAAGTCCATTCTACACTTTTTGAACTGAATAATCACAAAAGCAAACAGGAGTCAAATTTCACATATTCAGAGGTGTAAAGATATTTTCAAGGTCATTTTCAATCTCTTCCATTCTCCATTTCTTTCCCCAGGTTCTCCCAAATAATTTTCACCTCGGACTGCTATCAAATATTGATCCACTGTTTTCCACGTGAAACGTGGATGAAAAATTAAAACTTTACAATTCTAATGAAGATTTGTAGGGAATGGTATGTTTATTACAGCGCTGGACGTATGTGGAGACTCATCCTGTCTGTTTGAAGGTCTGAGGAGTTTTTTTTATCTCTTGTCTTGTTAGTGTGGAAATTTGCATTTTTCCCTCCTTAGCTAGGAAAACTTTGTTAGTGCTGCAGTTATTAGACTAAATAGTATATTTTACTTATGTTAGCAAGCTTAAAGCGGTACATTTCACTTAAACTCAAATAGATTTCTACACTGTTAATTTTTTACTCTATCTCACATGCTATATCTCCTTTTGATTTTCCCTTCTGCCTTTCCCTTTCCAGGCTCAGATATGCATCATATAAATAGGAATCCCAGAATGGTTTGGGTGGGAAGGGAACCTTAAAGCTCATCTCATTCCACCCCTGCCATGTGCAGGGACACCTTCCACTGTCCCAGGTGGCTCCAACCTGGCTTTGGAAACCTCCAGGGATCCAGAAGGAGCTACATCTTCTCTGGGCACCCTGTGTCAGGGCCTCACCAGAAGGCCTGGAAAGAATTTTTTCCTAATATCTAATCTAAACCTGCTCTCTAGATGTGACTGGTGCAATCCCTTCCTGCCTGTGTGTCAAGAAACTCAGAGTGTCCTCTCCTGATTTGCTTTTATCATTAATTCTTCCAAGTGGGAAAGATTATCCTTGTGAAATTGCAAAAAAATGTCTTAGAGAAATAAGCAAGAGTGGATAATTTTTAGCTTTTTCTTCCTCCCTCCTTCACCCCCTATAACCCTTGTTTTAAAAATCAGACACAGCAACAATTTACAGCAACGTTTTAGACAGGTTTGTGCATGTATTTGGTACAAACAAACAAAAATATGTGCATTCTGTTTCATAGAGCTTACATCAATCTGGCAGAACCTGAAACACAAAACAGAAATACTCCGGCTAATAAATACATCTGGGGATGAAAAATAAAAATCTATACATAAAAAATTCCAATGTTCTGCTAAAGAAAATGTACACTTATATACACACTGTAAACAATAGTAATGCAACCCAGCTGCAGCCCAGCTCAGGCTGACAGGGACCTTCCTTCCCTCATGGACTTGGGAGAGTCCAGAGACACAAAATCTCATTTCCCACCCCCAACCCTTGGTTCCTTGAAGCAGCAAGGTCTGAGAATGCAATTGTGACACGGAGCCAGTGCAAGGAGGTGGGATCTGATGGATAACTGAGGTGCAGGTGCTTTGGGGAATGGCCTGCCTGGAAAATTTTCTGGAACAGGGCCATTCCCTCAGCTGGTCCCACCCTTGTGGATCAAGGGGAATCAGTGGGATTGGACTGAATTTACCTCCTGAAAGTCTGAACCCGTTTTTCCAAACTTGGGAGAGCTTGGAAATTAAGGGATTCAAGGAGAAATGCTCAATTCCAGACACTCAGGTCATATTTCATACAAGATTTTCCTTCCTCCCCGCCAGCAAAGACAGCCCTGTCTCCTCTAAATGAAGCTCTACATGAGCAGCCTCAGAGTCCAGTCCTGGCACTGCTTCTGATGCAAGATGCCAAATGAAAGGGGGGTGAAAACCAAGTATTTTGCCTGAATGCAGCACAGCAGAGCTCAAGGCTTTCCTACAGCACCTTCCAGGGCATCTCTTGGGGCCAGATCAAATACAGTGAATAACTGAGCCAGAATTTGGGCATTTATTTGTGTGTGTGTGAGATGTGTACTTAAACAGACTTTATTTTCTCCCTTGTAGGTCTGTAGAGACTTGGGATGGAGAGGCAGCAAACCTCCAGACTAGTATTTTTTTTCCCTTCTCAAAAAGCTTTCAAGGTGCTGGAGGCTGTAAATATAAATATTTGAAAAAAGAAAAAATATATTGAAAAGATCAGGGAGAAGAGTAATAGCAGCTCATTTATGGGGATGCTCTGCTTGCCAGCATTTGCTAAACGTTCATTTATAGAGGGATGTTTGCCCATTTGTAGGAGAATGCCTGGTATTTTGGGAATGACACATTTATATAAACACAGTGAAGTGTGTATGTCTGTCTGTCTGGTCATGGATGTCCTCTCCCTGGTCCTTTCTCCCAAAAACACCCAGGAAACCAGTGGCAGCTGCAGTCCTCACACTAAAAAGTGACTTTTTGTTCCACCCCATCATCACTGTAAGGTCTCACTTCCCTTCAAAGCCAAATAAAAAGGGGAAAAAAAAAAAGTATTTCCCCACAGAACTTCCCATGGGGTGTTGAGAAGTCTCCTGCTTTGGTAGGGCAGAGATGGCAACCTCAGGCTGGTTTTACAGAGCTGGAGAAACATGCAGGTGGCTGTGAGTCTGAGTTCAGTGTAAGGGCTGGGATTTGCTGCTGGGAGGAAAATACCTGGACAAAATCTGCTGGTATTTGTGCAATAATTGGTCCAGTTTGTCCTGCATCAAGTAAAGGGTGTTGAGACAGGGCCAACTCCAGATATCTTGTCTCAATATGCACTGCACAAAAGAGTAAAAAAATTAAAAAAAAATAAATTCCAACTTCCCTCCTGTTCTGTTTTCCTTTAAAGCAGATCAGAACATCAGAAAGAAAGATGACATTCTCCTTGCTGCTCCTGGCAGCCTTTAATCCTCCTTTGGCAGCCACCCTTAGTGGGATAAGCTGGATGTGCTGCAGGCACTTCCATGAAAGGCTCCTCATGGGTTTGAGGGGCAGTGCTGATGTGGAGTGTTTCCACCCAGGACACGTTCACTGCCATGTTTCCACTCCTCAGGACTTCCCATTCCTGTTCTTTAGTTCCCTGGCTTGAGGCCCTTCACCTCAGATCTGTCCTCTGCCTCCTTCACCTACGTCTCTCCCGCTCGTGGCTTAACCTGATGGTCGCTGCTTGGGGCTCATTATCTGAAATTTGATTAAACCACTCTGAATTTTAAAACCAATACCTGCAATCCACGGCCAAGTAGAGTTTGAGTGACCATTTCCTGAGCTGCCTGGTCAAGGTGGGCTTGACGTGGCTTCAGCTCCTTGAGCTTCCTGGAGGAGGCCGTGGTGCCCTCCTGAGGGGTGCTCACACTCTGGGACTGTGAGCAGGGAAAAATCCCACTTTAATTGTCATTACTCTTGACACAACCAAGGCAATTGCTGACAGCCACCAAAGGTTTGATGCATCAAACATGTGGGAAGTCCCTTGGGAGAAAGATCCTGAGTGTGACCCTGACTGGGGAGGAGATCCCTCTGCTTTAGGGAGCTCCAGCTGCACCTCAGCTCCACCTCAGCTTGGACTCTATGGGCAGTAGAAATGCAAACTTCCCTACTCAGCCATCCCACTTTTCCTGAGCCAAGCACAGGACCCACATTACAGAATCACAGAATCATTATGTTTGGGAAAGTCCTCTCGGATCATGGAATCCAACCATCAACCCAGCACCACCATCAAACCATCTCCTCCAGGGCCACATTCTCACGTCTTTTGAACACTCCCAGGGATGGTGACTACACCACTGCCCTGGGAAGTCTGGTCCAGTGCCTGACAACCCTTTGAATGAAGAAATTCTTCCTAATATCCAGCCTAAATCTTCCCTGGCACAACTTGAGGCCATTTCCTGTTGTCCTGAGTGAAGCCCCTGGGATGCATTTTTTGTGTTTTTTTGAGAAAAACGAGAGCAAAGAAGGGGACGGGAAGGTTTGGGGATGACTGACACCAAAAGGAGCTGGTTTCTCTGAGTGCCACAGATGGATGCTCACTCAAGCAAGGTGGGTTGCAAGTGTTTCACTGGAAACTGAAATGCAAAATGCTTCACAGAATGGAATTAGAGGAGAGAGACCTGCATGCCCCCTGGCAACAGTGCACACATCTGGAATACTCCTCTGGCCTAAAACCAGGTGATGTGGAAGGGCCAAAGCTGTAGCCACTGCTGAGATGATGACTGAGAGCTGGGATCCCTCCACCTTGCTTGGGAATTCCCCAGTCTGCTCTCCCTCCAAAGCCAAGGCCTCGTCTGGATGTCCTGTTCAGGACCTCCAAGCTCCCAACCCACCCACATAAAGGATCAGCTGCCAGCCACTGCTTGGCAGTGTCCTTCCTGGGTGCTGCCTCTGGATGGAGACATGACCACATGTACTAAGGCAGGGTTGGCAACTTTTGGGGTTCAATCTTTCCATTAGATTTCACTGTGGTGTTTTTAAGGCAAAGGAGACATCCTGGTTTCCCTTATTTGCACAGCTTCTTCCAAAGCCAAAGCCAACCATCCACCAGAGGAGACAGCTCTTGCCCTAAGGTCATATCCACACCTTCTCCTCCTGCTGTGGCTTGTTAGAATGGGATATGCCATTGGCTCTAATTGGAGGAACCCACAATCCCACAGAAGGGGCTGAGCTCCGCAGGGGGGATGCTTGGACAACCTTTGGGCAACTGCATTTAATACCTGACTGCTGCTTCCAGCCTGCCTGACAGACCCACAGGTGGTATCCCTCCATGTTTCTTCTGGATACCTCTAAAGAAACCATCGACAGCTGCCCCAGAGGCTTCAAATATCTGTTTCTCTCAGCCCACAGCAGTCTGTTAAGTCATGGGTTTGGTAGTCAATGGTTTCTGTGAAATCATGAGGGATCCCGATCGAGACAGACTCCACCTCTGTCTTGTAGGTGGCTGTGGCCCCCCCTTTGCTGGAGCCACCCCGGATTTTGTTAGAAAGGCTGTTCATCTTCTCCTTCAGCTGGGTGGATGCTGGTTTCTGGAAAGGGGTGAGCATTTTCCAGCCCTTGAAGCTGAGCGTTCGCCTCTTACTGGCTCTCTCCTGGAAGGAGGAGTTAAATATGAAGGAGCTGTTCAGGGTGTTAATCCTGGGCCTTAGGTCTGTCTCTGAGTCCTGCACGGAGCTGTTGATGGAGGCTCCTCTCCAGTGGTGGTCGTAGACCCTCCAGATGGGCCGTCGGCGCCGGTGGCACTGGCACTTGAGCAGGCGGATGAACGCGCGCTTGAACTCCTTGCTGGAGCACGGGTAGATGATGGGGTTCACGCAGCTGTTGAAGTATCCCAGCCAGAAGATGATCTTGAAGACGATTTCCGAGGGCTTCAGGGAGGGGAAGAAAGAACCTTGGGAGAGATTGAGAGGAATATGGTTAGAGGAAGTGGAAGGATGTGGCAGAGTAAGGTGATAAGGGTGGTGGTCAGTGCAGTCTGGAAGAGGTGAGATGTGTCGAAAAGGCTGATGATGTGGTGGTGGTGAGAGCCTGGAACATGTTTCTCAGAAAAATTGTGTCTCCTCACCCTTGGAACTGTCCAAGGCCAGGTTGGATGGGGTTTGGAGAAACCTGGCCTTGGACTAGTGGAATGTGGGAATCCAGGGCTTCCCTCTGGCTGCCCTGGAAGGTCTGGGACCCTGGCAGGGGTCAGGAACCCCCCTGGACAGAGCCCCCAGAGACACTGTCTGTGATCTCTGTCCATGGAAAAGAGTTTTCAATCTTACAGGATGAATTACAAGCTCTGAGTGTTTGATAAGAGTAATAATTAAGTGTGGCATGGGTGCAAAAGTAAAATTTTAGGTTTCTAGATTAGGGGTTCAGAGGGGACAAGATGGAGAAATTGGGTGTGTCTTGTCCTTTTTCTCCTTCTTCATACCCTCTATGTTTCACTGTAATGTTGGCATTTTTCTATTGGTTTAGGCTGGGGACACACTGTTCAACGTAGGTGACAGATATTGGCACGTTATTGTAAATCCAGCACAGGTAGTTTCTGGTATTTAATGTTTGTACCATCCCACTGAGGGCAGAGCCCCACACGCTGCCCTGCAGGACAGAGCTGCGGCAGGGCAGCAGAACATGTTAGAGATAAACAGAATAAACAACCTTGAAACCAGCACAGACGAATTATGGCTTCTGCTTTGGCAGCGGGGCTGAAAGACAGAGACTTTCTACAATCTCGGAATCACCAATACCCACAGATTCCGACAGTGGAATGTGACTTTCAGGTAATTTACTACCTCCAGACTTATAGACTTCAGCATAAAAGTATGGCCACAGTCCTGTCACCTGCACTGAGAGACGAGCAACACCCCTTCACCTCCTCCTCTCGTGTATTTTGGGTCCTCAGTGCCATATATCCTCTGTTCAGATTCTGTGGTGAAGCTAAGGGGAGCTGTTTAAGTAGGCTCAGATAATATCCACTGCCCCAAAGCTTGTCCTTGATACTTTAAAACACTTTTGTCCACCCCTTCCCTCCTTAAGTTTTTGCAGAATTTCCTGGTGTTTTTGTCAGTGAAAAAGCTGGAGATAAATTTTTATTGAGCCAGAAGATGTCAGTGTTGCTCCCACACGGCCTCAGAACAGCATTCCCCACTTGGATCTGAAATAACTTTCTGACTCAGCCTTAATTTCTTTTAATTTTAGCTCCAGATGACAAATCATGCCACCATGTGACTGAGAGTTAATTTGTATTTTAGTAAATAACATTAACTCCTGATATCATTATTATTTTTCTAAGCCTGGCGTCAAAACAGTAAAACAGGTGCCAGGAGCCAGAAATTAATGACTGATACTACATAAAAGCTCCCTGGGCTATTTGCTGGAGAAAAACCATCCTCCAGGGAACTCAGAGAACTGGTTCCAGCAAAGCTTTTGTACACCCATCCCTAAAAAGTGGAGAAATTCCAGCCAGACTCAACATTAGGTACGTGGGCAGCTCCATCACGGGTATGTGGGAGAAGACACAGATCCCAGCATTTTATGGTGGTTGGGCAGGCAAAGCAGATTAAATATCTGCTGAAGGGCCCACCCAGGGCAGGCAGGAGCTCAGGCTGGCTGTCAGGAACAAGGACAGTGAGCAGGACTGACATCTCTGTGCTGGGAAGCCTCAGAGCCTTCCTGGAAATGAAGGTGTTTGCAGCTGAATGAGCAGCTGCTGTGGTGCAGCCAGTGGCTTTGAATGGAGCAATGATTAAGGAATGGTTTGGGTTAGAAAGGATCTGAAAGAAAATCTCCTCCCAAACCCCCTTTTAATCCTTGTTCCCATGTTCAGGGACATGTCCCACTGTCCCAGGTCACTCCAAGCCCTGTCCAACCTGGTCTTGGACACTTCCAGGGATCCAGGGGCAGCCACAGCTTCTCTGGGCACCCTGTGCCAGGGCCTGTCCACACTCACAGGGAACAATTTCTGCCCAATATCCCATCTAACCCTGTCCTCTGGCAGTCTGAAGCCATTCCCCCTCATCCTGTCACTCCATAAATAGTCTCTCTCCATCTTCCCTGTCAGCTCCTTTAACACAGGGGTCACTTCTGTCGAGGCAATGACCCCACCTTGGTTGTTTTAGATCAAAGGAGTTTATCCTCTTGGGGACAGTGCTGAGATTTCCAGGTTAGCTCTGTGCTGCTGGAATCAACAGTTTTGAATTTAACCCCATCAGAAACACCTCCCTGAGTGACAGCCAGGAGCTTTGAACACCCCAGTGGTGCAGGGGCCATCCCCCTCTGCCTTCCATGCAGCATCTCCAGTCTTCATCCCACCATGGCTTTGAGCATCTCCCTTTTTCACAGTGCCCCCAGCTCACCCCCCTGGACATACAGGAGCCATGGATGCGTCAGGAAATGGGACCTAGGAAGATGAAGGTCTTCACTGAACATGCAATCCTGATTAATCCCTTGTCAGGGAGAGGTTTCCTGCCTCAGTTTCCCCTCAGAGAAAGGGTTAATTACCACAAACCCTTCACAGTGTTGCTGTGAACCCTGTTTGCAGCGTGCTCTGGGTTCTCAGAGGAGCTGCAGCTCTGTGGAGCTTTTTTTTTTAGCTTTGAGAGAGAGGAAAAGAAAACAAAAAACTATGGTAACAAAGCAAATAAAAGAAGGGTCTCTTTTTAAATTCAATTGGTAATTACTGTTTGAGCCAGGCTACTTAAGAGATCGGTGCTTGCCTAAACAGCCTGATGGTTGCTAAAATAATAATTTCTATCTGGTGTTTAGCGGTTCAGGGCACAATGCAGTTTCTGTAGTACGTGCTTTGTCTTTTGCATCCAGATAGAAAACGCAAATTGAAAAGGAAAAGAAGCTATGAATTCTCTGAATTTCAACTCTGGCTGGTTTTCACCCAGCGAGAACCTTGTGTGCATATGAAGACAAGGAGCCCATTAGCATCCTCATTACCATGCAAATAAGCGTGCCCCTTGGAAGGGACGTGTCCTGAGTGCATCCACAGTTTCCTCATTTCCTCTCCCCGGGATGAACAGAACTGGGCAGGGAATCCCCAGAACAGCTCCTCTGCACAGGCTGAAGCATCAGAATCTTCTGATGGGCACTGGGAAGCTGCACACATGAGGATTTGAGGGAGTTTTTTTAGGCAATGTGTAAAAAAAAATCGAAGAAATCAGCTCTTGCTTTCATACACTTCAATATGCAACAACACCTTGAGAGTTTTTGGTCTGGGCTTTGTGACATTTTCTATATAAATAAGTGAAAGTCATTACTGAGTGATTGACACTTGAAGAGCTCAGGAAGCACAGAGGGATGTGTCCAAGGTCCAGAGATGTCAGTAAAAGATCAGGAATAGCAACACGGAGTGAAGGACCAGCAGCTCAGTCTGTTATCTCGGTTAAGAGCAATTTTTGGTGATCTGGCCCCAAGAGCATCAAGGCCAGTACAGGGCAACATCAAAGAACAAGAAACATTAATTCTGTAGGATCTGTGTCACAATCCAACAGACCAAACCTGGTCTTGTGTAAAGAGGAGCTGTCAAAATCAGCCCTCTGGGCACCTCTCCTGGGCATCCAGCTCAGCACCTCACGGGGTGAGGGAGGAGGAGATGGTGACACTCACCTTAGGGACATCCATCGGAATTTATAATAATAATAATGCTGAGGTCTCAACAGTCCTTTTGGGGACTTTATTCCTTCCATTGTTTTATGAAAAGATCATCCCACATCTTGCAAGGTTTGAATCTGACAGAGCTGGGTCAGGGCAAAGGCTGTATGTCCTGTTGTCACCCTAAATAATTATCTTCAGGACCATTCAGAAATTAAGAAGGCTGCAGGTGAGCTCAGGAAAAGCCTGCTTGCACCTTGCAAAGCGGCTGAAGTTACAGACTAAACATGATCTGAAGACTGAACTTCAGTTTTTTGGGGATGCAAAAGTCGAGCCAATATAGTATGTGCTCATATACGTTATTTTTATTATTATTATTACTTGTTAATGTCACCATGCTCATATTTGGGAAAAAAACAGGCAGGTAAAAATCTCTGGAGCCATGGGCATACTTCCCAAAACTGTGACGCTCTGTGGTGGGTGGCAGTGGATGCAATCTGCCCTCCATGTATCCAAACACATATCCCATTTTTTTAAGGTTGCTTGAGCTAATACAATCTCATGATCTCTCCTCGCCTGCCCTTCTCCACCCTGCACTCCCCATGACTCACTGGAGGTGATATCACTTGGATTGTTCTGAGACTTGCTGGTCCCAGTGTTCAGCGGTCCAAAAAATAAAGCAAAACAAGAAAAAAAAAAAAACAAAAAAAAGACAAATGCACCAATGCAAATGGAGCCGGTCCAATCTAAATTCTGGCCCTGGCTCCCAGTGTACAGCCAGAATTCATGAGCAGGCTGAGTTGGCAATGGCATCTTTGTTGTAAAAGTCCCCCACTTTGCAGCCTGTCCTGATTAGTCCATGGAGCAGGAATGCTGCAGACATGGCAGCAGGTGGGAGGAAAAAAGGGACAAAGTTGTGTCCCAGTGCTGCCCCAAATTGGAAATGCAAGGACCAGCAGGACTGTTCAACACTGATAAAGGTGTTGCTGTTGCTTAGTGTGGGCTTTGTATCAGGAATGGGCTTGCAAAAAAATCTCTTTTGGAGAGCTGGACCTTACAGGTGTCATCAGAGGAGAGGGAAGGTGAAACCTTCCACTGGAGGTGGCAGGTGAACAGCTAAGAAGAGCATGGTTCATCTCACAGCAGGTTCTCAGCTGTGGATGTCCCTGCAAGCAGGATGTAAAAATTGATTGGCCAAAATAATGGAAAATTTAAAAAAAAAAAAAAAATTACCAGTGTGTGAACTACTCTGTTTCTGAGCTAGGAAGCTCCAGAAATCCACATGCAGGACTAGAACTGTGGTGGGGA